CGATCCGACCTCGTCGTCTAGGGGGTTTAGCTAATGGATTACTAAGTTAAACCTAGCTCGAGCTCTCCTAAGCCTATACCAACTCGTGACTTGAAGTTTAAGTTGTTAACATGCAAATCAATTTCATCTAGGAGTCGCCATTAATTAGTTTTCGGTGGATCGATTAAACGCCCAAGTAAAGCACGGGAGAAATGCTTCACTTCTACGAATCAGAGACTTAATGGGTACGGGGACTTGATTACACTAATTGACCAACTAGTGTCATTTTGGTACCTAACCTTATTCAATCACCGCCTAACATGTTCACACTAATTGGGAGTCTCAAAATTCCATCCCTAACCTAGCTAAGGGAGGCAACAATCAATATATGAACCTAGCCTGCCTAATCAACTACATGCAAAGTTAAATTCAACGCATAATTCGAAATGTGTAAATTGAGCAACGTGCAAGCATACGTGGCACTAATCACACAAAAAGGATAAGAAAGGCAATTTCAAAACCCAAATACCAATTTTTTATTTTCGAAATTTTTTTAAAAAAATATTGATTTTTTTTTATTTTTTAACGAAAAAAAAATTTATATTAAAATAATAATATAATATGAAAAATAATATCAAACGGACCAGGTCGGATCTCCAAACCCGATCCGACCTCGTTGTCTAGGGGGTTTAGCTAATGGATTACTAAGTTAAACCTAGCTCGAGCTCTCCCAAGCCTATACCAACTCGCGACTTAAGGTTTAAGTTGTTAACATGCAAATCAATTTCTTCTAGGAGTCGCCACTAATCAGTTTTTGGTGGATCCATTAAACACCCAAGTAAAGCACGGGAGAAATCCTTCCCTTCTACGAACCAGAGAGTTAATGACTACAGGGACTTGATTACACTAATTGACTAACTAGTGCCATTTTGGTACCTAACCTTATTCAATCACCGCCTAACATGTTCACACTAATTGGGAGTCTCAAAATTCCATCCCTAACGTAGCTAAGGGAGGCAACAATCAATATATGAAACTAGCGTGCCTAATCAACTACATGCAAAGTTAAATTCAACGCATAATTCGAAATGTGTAAATCCAGCAACGTGGAATCATACGTGGCACTAATCACACAAAAAGGGCAAGAAAGGCAATTTCAAAACCCAAATACCAATTTTTTTTTTTCGAATTTTTTTTAAAAATATTGATTTTTATTATTTTTTTTGAAAAAATAATTTTTATATTAAAATAATAATATAATATTAAAAATAATATAAAATGGACTAGGTCGGATCTCCACACCCGATCCGACCTCGTCGTCTAGGGGGTTTCGCTAATGGATTACTAAGTTAAACCTAGCTCGAGCTCTCCTAAGCCTATACCAACTCGCGACTTGAAGTTTAAGTTGTTAACATGCAAATCAATTTCATCTAAAAGTCGCCATTAATTAGTTTTCGGTGGATCGATTAAACACCCAAGTAAAGCACGGGAGAAATGCTTCACTTCTACGAACCAGAGACTTATTGGGTACGGGGACTTGATTACACTAATTGATCAACTAGTGCTATTTTGGTACCTAACCTTATTCAATCACCGCCTAACATATTCACACTAATTGGGAGTCTCAAAATTCCATCCATAACCTAGCTAAGGGAGACAACAATCAATATATGAACCTAGCGTGCCTAATCAACTACAAGCAAAGTTAAATTCAACGCATAATTCGAAATGTGTAAATCCAGCAACGTGCAATCATACGTGGCACTAATCACACAAAAAGGACAAGAAAGGTAATTTCAAAACCCAAATACCAATTTTTTATTTTCGAATTTTTTTTGAAAAATATTGATTTTTTTTATTTTTTTTGAAAAAATAATTTTTATGTTAAAATAATATAATATTAAAAATAAATATAAAACGGACCAGGTTGAATCTCCACACCCGATCCGACCTCGTCGTCTAGGGGGTTTAGCTAATGGATTACTAAGTTAAACCTAGCTCGAGCTCTCCCAAGCCTATACCAACTCGCGACTTAAGGTTTAAGTTGTTAACATGCAAATCAATTTCATCTAGAAGTCGCCACTAATAAGGTTTCGGTGGATCGATTAAACACCCAAGTAAAGCACGGGAGAAATGCTTCACTTCTACGAACCAGAGACTTAATGGGTATGAGAACTTGATTACACTAATTGACCAACTAGTGCCATTTTGGTACCTAACCTTATTCAATCACCGCCTAACATGTTCACACTAATTGAGAGTCTCAAAATTCCATCCCTAACCTAGCTAAGGGAGGCAACAATCAATATATGAACCTAGCGTGCCTAATCAACTACATTCAAAGTTAAATTCAACGCATAATTCGAAATGTGTAAATCCAGCAACGTGCAATCATACGTGGCACTAATCATACAAAAAGGGCAAGAAAGGCAATTTCAAAACCTAAATACCAATTTTTTATTGGCGAAATTTTTTGTTTAAAATATTGATTTTTTTTATTTTTTTTCGAAAAAATAATTTTATATTAAAATAATAATATAATATTAAAAATAATATAAAACGGACCAGGTCGGATCTCCACACCCGATCCGATCTCGTCGTCTAGGGGGTTTAGCTAATGGATTACTAAGTTAAACTTAGCTCGAGCTCTCCCAAGTCTATACCAACTCGCGACTTAAAGTTTGAGTTGTTAACATGCAAATCAATTTCATCTAAGAGTCGCCACTAATCAGTTTTCGGAGGATCGATTAAACACCCAAGTAAAGCACGGGAGAAATGCTTCACTTCTACGAACTAGAGACTTAATGGGTACGGGGACTTGATTACACTAATTGACCAACTAGTGCCATTTTGGTACCTAACCTTATTTAATCACTGCCTAACATGTTCACACTAATTGGAAGTCTCAAAATTCCATCCCTAACCTAGCTAAGGGAGGCAACAATCAATATATGAACCTAGCGTGCCTAATCAACTACATGCAAAGTTAAATTCAACACATAATTCGAAATGTGTAAATCCAGCAACGTGCAATCATACGTGGCACTAATCACACAAAAAGTACAAGAAAGGCAATTTCAAAACCCAAATACCAATTTTTTATTTTCGAAATATTTTTTAAAAAATATTGATTTTTTTCTTTTTTTCGAAAAAATAATTTTATATTAAAATAATAATATAATATTAAAAATAATATAAAACGGACCAGGTCGGATCTCCAAACCCGATCCGACCTCGTTGTCTAGGGGGTTTAGCTAATGGATTACTAAGTTAAACCGAACTCGAGCTCTCCCGAGCCTATACCAACTCGCGACTTAAGGTTTAAGTTGTTAACATGCAAATCAATTTCTTTTAGGAGTCGCCACTAATCAGTTTTTGGTGGATCCATTAAACACCCAAGTAAAGCACGGGAGAAATGCTTCACTTCTACGAAGAGATAATTAAAGCAACTCTAGAGCAGCCTTTTCCCCCTTCCAACAGGCTTATTTTGCATTAGGGTTTTGAAAGCATTGATTGTGTACAGCAATCTGGATAATCAATTTTGGTACAGGAGTCACTGCAGTCGAGTTAGTCGGGGTCCTATTATTTACATTGCCCGTCAAAAGCATTGTCATCTTGCCAGCGATTTGGAAGAGCAATAGGTTGTAAATTTGCCCCCCCACAAAAAAAAAAACGAGAATAATAAAAGGGTCATTTTAGCGCGCAGAGTTAGATGAGCAACCTATGTGCGGGCGAAAGTGGGAAAATAATTAAATCATTTCGCGACTATATTATAATTGCGTGCCTCTCATTGATTCAGAGTAGAAACTGGGTAATATAAGGAGAGTTCTAGATAGTAAGGACCACTAAGGTTCTCTTGTATTACTTTTTCCCTCTTAATTAATCATGGAAGGAAGTGAATTCGATCTCGTCGCTATTAGGCCCCTCTTTAGGGCAATTTTAATAAGATGATGATAATCTTTTTGGCTTGTGTGCAAAGTAGAGAAAAGGGGTTAAAGAACTCGTATTTTTGAAATTAAGGCATAGTTTATCATGAGCAGTTGTTGGGCATCTAGTGGGCCTGAAATGTTTAATGATTCGAGTCCAATTTCGAAAAGGCCAAGGATCTCCATCAAGTAGCTTTTTACCATAGAAAGACAAACGTGATTTGGGGCTTTGATTACTCCCTAAATCTGATCTTGGGGTCACCCAACTTGTCTTTCTCGACCAGGCCATGGACTTGTCGTTTGTATCATAATTGCATGTTTGTGTTGCGATCTCGTGTTAAATCGGCATTCGTCGCGCTATTTAGAGGAATGAGCGACTGATTTTACATGCGACGTGCGACTTGAGGACAGAGCTTGACGACGTGGATTTGTAACTGGATGGAGTATTAAAATGATCGAATGTTGTTTGTGCATTCGAGCAAATAAAATGGTGCTCGCACTAGAGCGAACAGAGTACTAGGGCATGATAGTGCCCGTGCCGATCATGTCCATGTTCTGTCAAAACTTTGATTGGTGTTAAGTATAATCATGTGATGATTCCGTACTTGATGTGCACGGATCGGTCTTGATATCCTTAAAATCCATACATGAATAGATGGCTTTAGCAACTTTAGCACGTTCCTTCTGATTACATGCTTATCCTATGATAATATGATGCAATTGATTGATACAATGGGGTCATGCACCTTCAGAATCACCATAGCACCTATACTGTACATACAACGAGACATTATCTACATCAGAGAACTGCTGCAGCTACGCAGGACATTGATGATACATGAAATGAGAAGGGCAAAACAAGATTGACAGTCCTTTCCTTTTGTTGTTACTTATCCCACGTACTAAAACTAGACATTGATTTCCAAATAAGTTGGGTCTTACTGGATCACTTGATTTATCGAATTTTGAATCTAGTATTGCATCTTTGACCAAAAAAAAAAAAAAAACCTGATATTGCATGACCGACCAAAAAACCTAGTACTGCATCAAATCATTCTTAGAAAAAAAAGCTAACTTTAAACTTAGAAACTTGTATCTCAAGCTAAATGAAGGAAAGCTAACTTGACACGCTCATCGTCTTCCCCGACAGAGCTCGTGATCGTGCAGCCGAACCCCAGATAAGGACAGATCTCAAATTCCTCCGAGAACGCAAATCCATGCGTACAGAACAAACCACGGTTTCCTTCTTTTCTTTTCTTTTCTTTTTCTTGAGTTTTCTGAGGAAGCGACACGAGGCTCGCACGTTAATGTATGAAAGAGATCAGGTCGCGAAACCGGTAACAATGCCCTGCAACTTTTGTTTCTCTCTTTCTTTTTGGGGGGGCTCTCTTTCTTATCTCCGGGCACGTCATTGACGAGGGCGTGCAATGATTTGGCCTTAAAATAATGGTCTTGCTTGTGCTATTTTACTAGCAAGAAAATCAAGAAAGCGGGTTACAGAGAGAGAGAGAGAGAGAGCGCGTTCGTTCTCTCCAATGGGAGAATGGGCAGTGAATTTCCGTGTGTTCTTGTCATTCGATGCTAAGACGGGTCGGAAGCCTCTTCACTCCGCGCCCGAGTTCGATCGACGGATCGATGATCTGATGATAGCCCGCTGCTCGAGTTGAATTGGGCTCGCGAATTTTGGGGAGCTTCTTGGGTTTGTCCCAATTTTCCTCCGATCGCGTCTGTCTGTGGTGCACGCAATCTTGCTGTTTCTCCGCTTTCAAATCCACCGTTTCTTCTTTCTCGGGTAAATCTCTCTCTTTCTCTCGTCAGGATCTGCTCGAAAGTTTCGTTTTTTATTCTTTTGACGTGGCGGGTCGATCTTTCTCTAGCAGGTTCGTCGATCTAGTTCCTTTGTGGGTTTGGTTTCTTGGTGTGGTTGGATCGAAAGTAAGGGACTTTTCTTGATGATTTTATGCTTGATCTGTTCGTCAGAATTATGTTTATCGTGGTTTTTATGAGGATGGACGATCCAGGGATTGTTTGTTCAGGTCTCTGCTTGAACAACGCGTTTCGTAGAGCTTGTATCTTCTACTCATCTTGAGCTGATGATTGTCCCATTCAACTTAACTAATGCTTTTGAGAGGAACTTAGCATGGGAAAATGATGGAAGCATCTGGTGAAGATAATTTGTTTCCTAAAGTCCTGATAATATAAGTAGATTTTCATTCAAGCTTGTGGAGAGGGTGAGATTACTTCCCGTAGGGGTGGTGCTGGTGTGTTCATCTGGGTCCGGGACAATCTATAATCGTTCGAGATGTGTTGTGAGATTGATAGGACTACCTGCTGATAGTAGAATTGGTGCTGCAAATGGATCAGATAGTATCACGGTTTCTGTTAAAGAGTTTGCACATTATTTTGGATTCGAGGATTCCTTCTCTGCATCCAAATGACCAAAGAAGTGACCACCGTACAGTTTCTCGTGCGAGAAAGAATGACAAATGGTTTAACTTAGGCTACGCATGACAACTTGCCAAACAGTATTTGATTCCGTTCTTTTGTTCCAAGAATCAGTTTGGGAACAGAAATGCGTTTGTTTAATTTTTTTATTCTGGGCACAATTTTGTTAAAAATTGTTCCCAGAATCAGTTTTGGAGCAGAATCAAGAATAAAAAAAAAGTAGCTTCTTGATTCTAGGAATAATTTTGAGAATCAATTTTTTTTTCTTCTTCATTTTCTTGATTTTTAATTTAGCTTCTAATGTCCGGCCCGAGGACCGCCCTCGCCGGATCTGACGAGAATAAAATATTTTAATAAAAAATTTTATTAATAAAAAATATTTTACCGGCCATGGCCGGCGACCAGGCCATGGCCATAAAAAAGAAAAAAATATATTTTTAATAAAAAAAATTTAATAAAAAAAATATTTTACATGCCATGGTCGGTGACCAGGCCATGGCAAAAAAAGAAAAAATATATATTTTTAATAAAAAAAATTATTAATAAAAAAAATATTTTACCGGCCATGGCCAGCGACCAAGATATGGCAAAAAAAAAAATAAAAATGTATATATTTAATAAAAAAAATTATTAATAAAAAAATATTTTACAGGCCATGGACAAAAAAAATAAAAATATATATTTTTAATAAAAATATTTTAATAAAAAAAATATTTTACCAGCCATGGCCAAAAAAAATAAAAATATATATTTTTAATAAAAAATATTATTAATAAAAAAAATATTTTACCGGCCATGGCCGACGACCAGGATATGGCCCAAAAAAATAAATTTGTATATTTTTAATAAAAATATTTTAATAAAAAATATTATTAATAAAAAAATATTTTACCGATCATGGCCGGCGACCAGGCCATGGCCCAAAAAAATAAAATTGTATATTTTTAATAAAAATATTTTAATAAAAAATATTATTAATAAAAAAAATATTTTACTGGCCATGGTCGGCAACCAGACCATGGCCAAACAAAATAAAAAAATATATTTTTAATAAAAATATTTTAATAAAAAATATTATTAATAAAAATATTATTTTACCTGTCATGGCCGGCGACTAGGCCATGGCTAAAAAAAGAAAAAATACTTTTAATAAAAAAATTATTAATAAAAAAAATATTTTACCGGTCATGGTCGGCGATCAGGCTATGGCCAAGAAGGAGGAAAAGAAAAAAAGAAAAGAAAAAAAAGAAATAAATATTAAAATATTTAAAAATATTATTAATAAAAAGAAATTTTGTGGCGTTGCCAAACGCATTTCTGTTCTTTTTCTATTACAGGGATGGAATTTTGGGCCGTTAACAAATGCCTTAAAATGCTCAGAATCAATTCCGGACACAGAATCAAAAAAAATCATTTCTGAACATAATCTGTTCTCGGTCACAGAATCGTTGTCATGAGCAGTCTTAGTATTGGGAGACCGCCCTGCTGCCCTGGAAAACTTGAACTTTTGGCACAAGTGTCCGCGGGGACCCACGTGTCAGGAAGGCTTCACGGTAGAATAACTCCCACGGCACAGAGCTAAGCCGAGCTGAACTGAGAGCAGCTGGGAGAAAATTTTTAAAAAACAGCCCTCTCTCTCCAGTCTCCACACTCACTCTCTCTCTCTTTCGCGCTCCCAATCGAATTCAAGATCTGGAATTCGCTCTGCGCTCCGTCTCCCTCACGCCGACGAGCGAGGTCCGTCTCCTCGCCCCGACGCCGACGCCGCCTCACTCCGACGATTTCTCTGTCTTGCAGTTCGAGCCACGAAGCTTGGAGCAGCAGGAGCGGACAAGGCCCATATCCACAAGTGGCGCTCCGGAGTTTGGAATAATGCTTCACGAGTGAGTGGCGCTCCAATCCCCCTCCCTCCCTCCTCCTTCCTCTCTCTCTGCCCTTCTTTCCTTTTTTTTATGTGCTGTATGGCGAGTCGCGGAGCGAGAGCTCTCCTCTCTCTTCCCAAGCGCAAACTCAACGTGTCGTCTCCTCTCCTTCGACCGCCGCTGCCGGCACGCGGTCTCTCCTCTTCACCGGATGATGCACCGTCGAATCTTGGAGTAAGCAAAGCGAGCTCTTCGTCCTCCTCCTCATCCTTCTGTCGTACAAACCGCTTCAGTGTTGTACAGAACTAAAGAGATACGTTGTTTGTGGACGTTTGAGATAAAAGGGTGGCTTCGTGCTTTTGGGTTCTAGAATATCAACAAGATATGCTTATGTGAGCCAGTAATGAAGTCCTTGGCCTCGTTTTCTCTGTCTTGGTTCATCTTTCAATTGGGTACCGCTTTTTGCATTGAATTCTAATCCATGATTGGTGATATATAGTCTACTTGAAGAATATCAGACCTTTATGAACTGTGAAGTTGGTAGCCACAGTGCAGAGTGATGTTCAGTGGTAAAAATGAATAAGGACCCTCGAGTTTAGTGATGGTCTGTGGTATTACTACCCTTTGTGCTTGCAAGAAGTCTGAGTTGGCAAAAAGACTGGGTGCCCTGCTTGTTTGCTTCTCCCGTGGGAGAGTTGGATCTTGTTCATATGTGCTGCCACAGCATCTTTTTGGTTTTTAAGTATGCTCTGCGAGCCATAGATTTCAAGGACTTTTGTTTTTGTTTTGAGTCAAGAACCTTAATCCATCATCATCATGGTTTGCTCAATTTTTAGCTTCAACGATATCTCAAATATTGCCCTTTTAATTTACCATGTCCAGCTAAATCATAGATGGGGTTTTCCATGGTTAATTTCATATGACAGGTATGGTTTATAGCTTTTAGCTCTTGTTTGTCTCTGCTGAATTTGCTTTTACATTTACAGAATGTTGGCTTCATAGGCTTGGGAAATATGGGATCCAGAATGGCGAAGAATCTTGTTAAAGCCGGATACAACGTCGCCGTGCATGATGTGTAATGTTTGGGATTCTGTGAATCTAATAATCTGTAAATGCATTTCCTCGAAATGATAGTACTCCAAAATGATCTCATTATGTTGCTATTTTGAGCTTCCAATGCTTTGACATTAACTGATTAGCTAGACCAACAAGGAGATGAATGTGTTATGAGCAGATTAGGATCAGAATCTTGGTTTATTCACATCCCTTAGGAGACGTTCAGAGAGTTCTCACTAGACGGAAGCCTATCTTTGTAAGTAGTGTCCAGACTATCCTTTGACTTTCCCAGTAGCATCACCTTTTTCAATTTTGTATTCATGTATAATGGAACATTCTTGCAATCCAATTATTGTGGAGCATTTAGTGCCCATTTGTGTAAGTGAAAAAAATTTATTCCTTTCAGAAATGGTGATGCCATGAAGATCTTTGCTGGCATTGGAGTCCCCACCAAGAAAACACCCTTTGAAGTTGCAGAAGAAAGTGATGTAATAATGACAATGTTGCCGTCATCTTCCCATGTAAGTTCTAAATTTTGTCTTTTATGTTTGTCCTTTGCTTGCAGTAGCCTTTCTGTCATCACAGTTATATTACAACTGCAGTTAATCTTTACGATTGTCGTATAGATTTTAAATAGAGAATATTGTCTTGGTTGTAGTTCTAATATGAACCAGGAGTTGTGAATTGAACTGACCAGAAAGAGGGTAAATGTTTCAACCTTGGGAAATAATATGTCTTAATGCTCAGAGGTCCATTCTTTCCGGCTATAAGTGATCTTATATTCGGTGGGAGATCATTGGCATTAACATATAGGCTTGGGTATTGATGAAGAGGTCCTGTTTTCCTATTTGAGGAGCACTTCAATTACTTTGGACTCATGTTAGGCATTCACTTTTTTATTTCATGCATCAATCGTAAGTGTATGCTAGGAGCATGCCGTACGACGCAGAAATGTATTTAAATCAATTTGCTCGGCGTGTAAGTTGTTTATCACTGTGTTTGTGGAGCCTTTCTCATAAAATTTCCCAGGTGAAAGACATATAAGGATAAAATTGAATAATCTATCTATACGAATAATGAAGGTATTTGTTGTATACACTGGACCGAATGGATTGCTTCATGGTGGAAATCTCCTAAGACCGTGGTTATTGATAGATTCTTCTACTATTGATCCCCAAACATCGAGAAAGATTTCAGCACTTGTGTCTAACTGTACTTTAAAAGGGAAGAGAGGTAACGGGAAGTAAACTCAGAAGCGTTATCCTTTAAATAAAATTATTGCTTGTAAGTGTCATGCTTAATAGCCCATTGTTCCATCAAGATTATTTCCCAAATAGTGTGCAGTCCTTATTTCCTGAAAACTGCTTGACCGTCGTCGTCATCGTAACGTCCTAAAAATATGATTTACCAGGATATATGACTATTGCTATGGAGGCATACTTACGCCGCATCTCCATGTCCATTTGCAAGAACATGCACTCTTTCAGTGATATTTAATGGAATGTACGTGGTAGTTAGGCCCAATTCCCTAAAAAACCCCAAACTTTACCTTTGTCCCAATTATATCCCAAACTTTTTTTTGTCTTATAAAAAACCTCAAACTTTTACTTTTGTCCCAAATCTACCCAATTCACTTTTCGTCCAATTTTTTAATATTATTTTTATTTTTTCGAATTTTATTTTATTTTTTCTTTTCTTTTCTTTTTCCTTTCCTTTTCTTTTTTTTTTTTGTTTCACCTTCTGGCCGGTTGACCGGCCAGAGGCGGGGGCCGGCGAGGTCGGCCCTGCCGGCCGCTGGCGAGGCTTGGCCCCGCCGGCCGGCGAGGCCGACCTCGCCAATAGCCGGCGGGGCCGAGCCTCGCCATGGCCGGCGAGGCTCGGCCCCGCGGCCGGCTGGTGAGGCTCGGCCTCGCCGTTCTTGGCGAGGCCGACCTCGCCGCTCTTGGCGAGAACTCGGCCACGCCGCCGGCCGGCGAGGCCGACCTCGCCAATAGCCGGCGGGGCCGAGCCTCGCCGTGGCTGGCGAGGTCGGCCCCGCAGTAACCGGCGAGGTCGGCCTCGCCCGAGCGGCGAGGCCGAGCCTCGCCAGCCACACGGTGAGGCTCGGCCTCGCCCAACGCCCGCGGGGACCGAGCCTCGCCGGCCACGGCGAGGCTCGGCCTCGCCCAACGCCGGCGAGGCCGAGCCTCGCCCCGCCGGCCCCGCCTCTGGCCGGTCGCCGGTCCGGCGACCGGCCCAAAGGTGAAACAAAAAAAAGAAAAGAAAAGAAAAGAAAAAATAAAAAAAAATTCGAAAAAATAAAAAATAATATTAAAAAATTGGACGAAAAGTGAATTGGGTAGATTTGGGACAAAAGTAAAAGTTTGAGGTTTTTTATAAGACAAAAAAAAGTTTGGGATATAATTGGGACAAAGGGTAAAGTTGGGGGTTTTTTAGGGAATTGGGCCGTGGTAGTTATCGGTGCTTTTACTAGGACTTAATACTTTGGATGGAATGCCACCATTCTCACCATCCCCATAGTGTATGAGACAAATGGATGAGAAATTTAAGGTTTTCTTTTTTGTCAAAATAAGACTTGAGCATGTAATGTTCCATCAGGATTATCTTTGGAGGATTAAAATGCATATATCAACCCCTCCACAGATTCCTGCAGTGCGGGAAGCCTTGTGCACTTAGACGCCTTTTTTAATTGCCGTAATAAGCAGATATGGCATCTCAGACTTGGAATACTCAGATTGTTTGATGCAGGGCAAAGGCAACTACATACCTTGTATTAAGAAACTGAAGATGTATATAAGTCATACACATTCTATTACTGCCTTTTGAACATCATCTTTTGGTCCCAGAAGAATTGGTAGTTGCCCCCTTTGGATTTGTTTCTCATCTTTGTTTCTTGTGTTATATGTATATGCTGTACAAGCTTATATGTTGTAAATAAATAGATGGAGGTGGAGTTCCTATGATGCTGGATGCACCTGTTTCTGGAGGTGTTCTTGCTGCTGAAGCTGGCTCACTCACGTTCATGGTATACTCAGTATCTGCAATCGATAGATCCTGATATGATTATAATAGCTCAAGAGTATGGACTTGCTTTTGAAAGCACTCAGTTAAGAACTCTCAGTTGGTGTTTCTTTTGCTTTGTGCATGTAACTCTATTTCGATGAACATGAATTGATGGAAATATTTAACCATAGCTGCTCATGCTTTGGTTTCCAGAAAATAGAACCTTCATAACCACAATAATTGTTGGATCACCTACTTTATTCTCACTGATGTCAAGATTATCTCTTGTGGCGTCTTAGAGACAAAATTTCACTCGAAAAAGCTGAGAATCTCCACAATGGAATCACTTAATCATATCTCCTGGTAATCATATTTTTTCTGTGAAATAAATGGATTAGTTAATACAGAAGCCCCTAAGCAATCGTGCCTCCCTTGTAAAGTTTAAAAAAGAAGTCCTGGCCATGGTTTCTTTATAGTTTGAATAATTGGTAAATACATTCCTATTGATAGAGTTACTATTAGCTAGCTGAGATTTTGGTTAATATTCCAAAATCAAAGTTTGGTTTCTGTGGCCGTCTTAGATATTGCATTTTAGTGTACTGAATGAAACTAAATGCAGCAATACAGCTTATAGAAACAGCAGGGATTGGGAAGATAGTTAATGAATTTTCCGTAGTTTTGTGGAAAAGCGATTGCCTCAACACCCTAATTGATGCACTTCTCTTGAATGTTCTATTCGTTAATTAACATGGCATTTCGCAGGTTGGTGGATCAGAAGAAGCTTATCTGGCAGCAAAGCCGTTGCTCCTCTCCACGGGCAAAAGCACAATTTATTGTGGTGGAGCAGGAAATGGTTCGGTGAGTTCCATCATTATTGGTGCAATGACTCATAATCTGTGTGCGTCTACTGGAAAGTGTTAATTCATGTACTGCTCATGGATGGTACAAGCCTCAATAAGTATTCAGTGACTGCAAAAGGAGAGAAACATTGCGAACAATTTTGAAAGTTCCTTGCTTTCTTTATACCACTGCTAAGGCTGGAATTGGTTGTCTGATTTGCCGCATAAGAGGAGGTTGCCACTTATGGGCTGAATACTGATGCTTATACACCTAAAGCTTGTTGTCATCAACAAATAAGATTGAGATGGGGGTTCCCCTTGGTATCAATACATATTACTAATCATACTCTGAAGGTAGAATTTCGCTTGGTTGCTGCTTTAGTCTTGCTTTCACTTAATACGGTTAGTGGCTAGTTCTACTTGGTTTGCATTTACCAAGTTCTACCTTGCATTAGAATAGAATATCCATATTGTCTTCTGAATTAATTCATAGCCATATCTGAAACTGAAAGGTTGATAAATGCTTAGTGTACGAAAGACAACTGAAATCAAATTGAACAAGACATCAGCAAAGCATCTTCTTGAGCTCTTAACGACATGCACTACATTTTTCTAGTATTCAAAACCAGAAGATTTTGACAATTTTGTCCCATTGACTAAACTGATCAGTTTCCAGAGTTCCTCAATGTTTTAGCACACATCCTTCATATGACAACATATATTGAAGAGACAATACAAGTACAAAATTTGACCAAATGTATTAATTGTTCACAATTACTCTCGCCAGCCTTTGCCTGATTGTAATACTTTCAATGTCCTTTAATCTTTAGGCAGCAAAAATCTGCAACAACTTAGCACTGGCTGTGAGCATGCTTGGTGTATCTGAGGCACTTGCTCTTGGTCAGTCTTTGGGAATTGCTGCAAGTGTTTTGACAGGAGTGTTCAACTCTTCAAGTGCTCGATGTTGGAGTAGGTACTATTTGGTCACTTTTCTGTGGCACAAGTAGGGTTTATTGTGGCTTCTCTTTCTCCTGCACTTTTTTTTTTTATCTTCAAAGGCTTGTAGTTATTTATCCACAGCATTTAGATGTGGCTTGGAGATATTGTTGGTGTTGAGAAATCATAAGCCGATGTAATGTGTTTTGCAAGTTTGAATGACGGTGTCCTCTCTCTCTCTCTCTCTCTCTCTCTCTCTCTCTCTCTCTCTCTCTCTCTCTCTCTCTCTCTCTGTGTTTTTTTTCCTTTATAAAAGTTGTAGTAATGCCCATGGAAACTGACTTAGGTGAAAAAGTGGGGTATGCCATTCGTGTTGAGGATGTGACTGGGCCAAACACGGTAATTAAGGTGAGACTGTTTTCGATTGTCAAGAGCAAATTCTTTACGATACTATTTTTTTAATGCCGACTTTTCTGAAGTAGTGTTGTTGCTTTTAATCTGGGACATATCTCAAATTTTGTTGGTTCCTGATAAATTATAATCTATGCCTTTTCGTTTTGGTTTTGTGCTCCGTCATGTATAATTGTTTTTTTTGGTGGTCACTACCGTGTTGCAGTACATGACAGATGGAGTGCTTTTCCGTGAAACACTGAAAGATTCCGACCTTGAATGGTACCAGTATGACAATGCATGAGCAACTCTGATCTATTACTTCTTGTTAAACTAGGTTGGAGTGGATTTGTATATGCATGGAGAATAACCTACGTAGACTCAGGTTCTTCAAGCAGAGCCTTACATTTTGTTGTTTTTACTTGTTTCAGGGTTGTCGTGATGGATGAAGCACATGAGAGATCACTGAACACTGATGTTCTCCTTGGGATATTGAAAAAGGTGGTAGCTTGAGGTCGCGATTTTAAGCTCGTTGTAACATCTGGTACTCTAAATGCACAAAAATTTTCGAACTTATTTGGCAAGTAATAATCACATTTTATGCTCTTGATGGGCGATCAGTTAGGTTGCCTAGATGAGGTTTTGACAATTGTCTCGATGCTCTTGGTGCTGTTTGTATTTTTCCAGCCAAAAGATATAGTGGAGGAGAGCGATGCTGCAAGGGAGAAATTTTTCGTTTCGGTATTTGGCCACTTAACAATGCATAATGTCTATCAGTAGTGGAAAAGTAAATAGTACAGAGGGGATTGGTGTAATGATCACGTTTTGCTTGTCAAGAGCTTGCGGAAGGCTCGAGAAGTGAGATCTCAATTGCTGGATATTCTCAAGATGTTGCGAATCCCATTAACTTCAAGTTGGCCTGACGCAGATGTCGTTAGGAAGGCCATCTGTCTCTGCTGGAGCATAAGAAGCAGGAGGAAGAGAAGACAGCCATGGAGGAAGAAATGGAGAACCTAAGGAGATCGCAGGCAGATGCGGAGATAGAGATTGAGGTGAAAGAGAGGGAGAAGAGGGCGAAGCAACAGCAGCGAGTCTCATTGAATGGGTTGAGGCAGGGTACTTCTACTTACCTCAGACCAAAGAAATTTGGTCTATAACTGTACATGGCGTTGTATCAATAGCATATAGTGTAACATGTAATTGTTAGAGAAGTTTGTTTCACCATTGAGGCTCACCGCGAATGGCAACCCAAATTCAGAGTAGACCAGATCATCCAAATTCCTAAGCGACAGTACGAGGCTTCACAGTCCAAGTTTGGGTCCTGATTCCAATATTATCCCCATGCCTCGTTACCCAATACCAGCACTAAAAGAATACCTGTGGCTAAAAACATACATAACCTAGACTCTTACAGTGCTACGAAATACCATGCAAAACTAACCACAATATATCGTAAAATTATAAGTCTAACTGCAATAACTCATCTCCCACTGAATATATGGGGAGATACTGCCTTTGTTGTGTAATAGTTTTTGACTTCGCATATTCACTCACCGCTTCACCCTTTTTCATGTGCTGTGCAAACTTTGCCTCGTATTTAAAATCTACCTCGCCTCGTTCCCCAACTGCAGTAGTATCAGCATCATTCTAGTTTTAGAAAAATCAGCTTTCAGGCAATGGGCATTACTACAGTAACTTTTATAAATAAATAAAAAAAAACAGAGAGAATTATCGAGAGAGCGCGACCAATGAACAGTGTGCGACCAGCGGCTTTTAGGCAGATTTTCGTCGGGTTTCGGCTCGATTTTGGGACGGCCAAATTAGAATTCTTGTAGTGCTGTGAATGAGCTTTCTTTTAACTATAAGCTCGCTTAGAACGGAGTTTAGTGGAGAAAGTTATGACGCAACCAACTTTCGTGCTCAAGCTCTGCGTTGCGGATAATTTGGCTAGTCTTTCATTGAGCTGTGTATATATATAGAATTGGTAGTTTAGGGTATTGCAGGACCGTGGGATTTTACAGAATCCGATTTGGACTTACGGTTTGCCGGATATGAATTTTTGAAGTTGAGAGCGCGCAGTGAACAGTGCGTGACCAGTGCTCCAAATCCGTGCAAGGAACATTGAAATTAAGATTGCAGAGATATACAAAAAGAAGAAACTAATATTCACACCTCAAATGTGGAATTTATTTAATGAAAAAGAAACAACCACTTTCTTCCCACAAACAGTATGCAATGTCGACAAATACATAACATGTTCACAATAACACACTATGGCAAACTCATGACATCCTTGACCTTCAAATTCCAAATAACATGTGAGCTACTATAAACATCGACAACACAGTGTCTTCAATCTCGAATTTTCTTTCTTTAGCTTTGCCGCATCTTGTTTATCATGTTTTACTTGTGCCTTGAGAGCTTTGATTTTAACATCCATGAAATTGCCATCATTCTCATTATGAGTCGACACTAGTTCTTCTTCGACATTGATCCGGTGATAATTTTTGGACACACTCATTGCCAATTGACTAGTTTCCACATCAACCCACATAAAAAAAACCGCAATTTTCCCCTCTGTTGTAGTTTTATCTTGGGCAGCGGTAATATCTTGTTCCCCGATTGTCCTTCATCATTGCTATTCGTAAAGGAGATTTCAGGCCACAATAGCAAAACACAGATGTATCGTTGTTAGTTGGAGGAATCGACGTCATTGACGGTGACGAATTCGCCGATCCCTTCATTAATTCGCTACACATTCTGAAACTTCAAAATTGGCCAAAACTTGAACACAAACTTCAATAAATCCATGTCAAGAATGCTGAACAGTTCTTAATTCAATGATCCACGATACCTAGCCAGAGGAAATAAGGTCACAAAGTCAACACCACCATAGTATTTCCAAAGTTCAGCTTCTGTGGACAACATAAGCTTTCTAATTCATATCTCTGCTGTGTTTCAACTATAAAATGGATTATACGCATGTCAGTTCACTAAAATAGAAGTCCCACAAGTCCTTTGAAGCTAAAGCCAATATATAAACTAAATCGACAAATTCTAAGAAAGAATTTCCATGCCTAAAGCAAAACAAAGTTATTTGGAAAAGAGACATGTAGAACTACTAGAACCCACATCTACACCACGAGTAGCGTTTCCAGCAAGAATAACAATGGCTCTAAACTGACCATAAAAAGAATAAAAAAATAAAAACAATGGCTCTAAACTGTTTATATATTCTTCAAGTGAACATTATGGGGCTGCTTTAGCCTAACGAAGCACGTCTTTCTCGGAAGCTCCTCGCCGGAGAGCCTCGTCAAGATTCTGCTGGGCTCTGAATGCCGCAAATCCATTTCTTCTGAGTGCAGCAAAGAATTCACAGGAAGAGAGCGAATCAGCAAAAGTTGGGAGTCATGAAAACAAAAACAAAAAATAAAATTCCCAGCACATACAAATGCACAAAATCTTCACCTCACTTCAGTCTCCACACAAAACATAACTATGGAACTATGGATTACATAAGGTGCACAACGCAACTTGTCAAGATAACAATTATAAGCAGAATAATTTCTAAATTTCTTAGACCACATGGTGTATATGTTAAAAAATAATACAGAGGAACTCATTATTGAATTAGATTAATGAAGAAATAGCTATATTGAATAAGCTGCGCAGTGCGAAGATAAGAGCAGTCACAATCAACAATGAAGACCAACACCACCAAGACCTGGATCTGAAAGAAGTTAAGATGCCTTTAAGCAATGGCAATTCTGATTCCAAGAAAAGGAATAACAATCTCCATGGTCCATTGGCCGTTTCCTTAATTTACATACATGCAATATCTATGTGATGTCCATCATTGAACACAATATTGGTGATCAGACACTTCAAAACATCAAGCAGACAACACATGCAAACAAAACCCATATGACCATTTGAAACCCACTCGACCAAACACGTATCTTCCTTTTTGTTGCCGTCTTTGTTTTCTAAGTCCACTTTTTCAACTGATGCCGAGTTAGGTACGTGTTATTATTTTCAGGATCATAAACATAATAACTAACTAGTTATGTCAATCAAATGGATAAAAGGAGCTTGTCAAAGGCTCTAGAAATAGCTTTTAACTTGTCTTATGAGACATTTACTTCTGAAGGTCTTTTAAGAGCAGACGTTGTGATAACCTTTGAAATTTAAGAGATAACGGGAGTCTAATCAAACTATGGTGGTCCACTCAGCATTAAATAGGAAAGTTATTTCCGTTCAAGATGAAACAAGGTTGGAATAGCAAGAGGACTTGACATAAAATATTTTACCAATTGCTTGATGCTCAGTCTGAGCCTCCAGCCAATGCTGCTCAAACTGAATGTTGGAGAGAGCCTCCTCCAACTTCCCTATCTGTTCCAACAAGGGGTTGATATGCTCTGCAGATACATTCACAACAGATAAAAAAGAGTTACACATGGTACGGTCATAAAGTTTTCAACAGACAATAAAACAGAAAAAAAGCAGAGTCCTACTGTCCTTTGCAGTTTGCATGGTGATCGTAGTATGCAAAATGGCCAACATGTACATCAAAGTCGATGATTTCATGATAAGGAGACTTGTTAGTAAAGCAAAACCGATGAAAACCCTTATGGTGAGCCATACACTGAAATTTCTCACTGATCTTGTCATGAGAATCTTGAATCTGATTACCAGAAGATCCTTTCACCTGGCAATTTCAAAGGTTGCAAAGAACGTACAGTTATCTAGGTCATTGTCAAAGGATTAAAGATCGATAAGCACAATATTGACAGAATTAAGGAATTCGATAATCAATACATGACTTTAATTCAAAGCATGTCCCGACAAACATGAAAATCAAAAACTAAATATGCATATGTGAGATCTAGTTGACCCATCTAGGCCGCCAAAGGCTAATAAACTACACTGAATAATCTCCTTTAGGAAGATAATCAGCATCCCTCACAAAAAAATGTATATTTGAGTATAGTATTTCTTGTACATTACGTTCGATCCATTAACCATGTGCTATTACGTCTGACCCATTAACTATGTGCTATTAAGAACTCTCGCCTACTTTCCGAGATTAAGTGCATCACAATATATGTAGGGCCCAATTCCCTAAAAAACCCCAAACTTTACCCTTTGTCCCAATTATATCCCAAACTTTTTTTTGTCTTATAAAAAACCTCAAACTTTTACTTTTGTCAAAAATCTACCCAATTCACTTTTCGTCCAATTTTTTAATATTATTTTTTATTTTTTCGAATTTTATTTATTTATTTATTCTTTTCTTTTTCCTTTCCTTTTCTTTTTTTTTTGTTTCACCTTCTGGCAAGCGAGGTCGGCCCCGCCGGCCGCTGGCGAGGCTTGGCCCCGCCGGCCGCTAGCGAGGCTGACCTCGCCAATAGCCGGCGGGGCCGACCTTGCCAATAGCCGGCGGGGCCGAGCCTCGCCGTGGCTGGCGAGGCTCGGCCCCTCAGAGCAACTGGCGAGGTCGGCCTCGCCTAGCAACGGCGAGGTTCAGCCTCGGCCGACCTCGCCGTTGCTAGGCGAGGCCAACCTCGCCAGTTGCCGGCGGGGCCGAGCCTCGCCAGATCTGGCGAGAACTCGGCCACGCCGGCCTCTAGCGAGGCCGACCTCGCCAATACCGGCGGGGCCGAGCCTCGCCGTGGCCGGCGAGGTCGGCCCGCCGGCAACCGGCGAGGTCGGCCTCGCCCAACGCCGGCGGGACCGAGCCTCGCCCGGCCACGGCGAGGCTCGGCCTCGCCTAACGCCGGCGAGGCTCGGCCGCCCAACGCCGGCGAGGCCGAGCCTCGCCCCCGCCTCTGGCCGGTCGCCGGTCCGGCGACCGGCCCAAAGGTGAAACAAAAAAAAAAGAAAAGGAAAGGAAAAAGAAAAAATAAAAAAATTTCGAAAAAATAAAAAATAATATTAAAAAATTGGACGAAAAGTGAATTAGATAGATTTGAGACAAAAGTAAAAGTTTGAGGTTTTTTATAAGACAAAAAAAAGTTTGGGATATAATTGGGACAAAGGGTAAAGTTGGGGGTTTTTTAGGGAATTGGGCCCAGCAATGATTATCATATAGTCCTCATTCACATTCACCTAAAGTATATACCAAAGAAGTTGAATATGCAGCCTAAAGTATAGCACTATCCACATTGTGGCGAAAACAAG